AAGAAAATCAAGCCTTGAGCCACTAATCTCCATTGTGAACTGAAGACGTAGGTGAAAGGAGTCAAAGACGTGTAGAGTTTTTTAGTTATTTTTGAAATGGAAAGCCATCTGTGAGAAACGCTGTCCAAATCTAAATCTAAAGAAATATTGGTAAAAAGGGAAATTACATCTAGTGAGATTAAGGTGTGATTGTCATTAAGTATAGTATTGTTTAAAATCTTAGTCAAATGGAAACTGTTTTTTATATAACTGGGAGAATTTGGGCTAATCTTTGAGATAATTTTATGTAAAAAAGGCCGCTAAAGGATAGAGTAAACTATCAATGGCGGAAACAATGATTCTAAGTGATATTTCAGGTTTGTGGATCTTGGGTAGGGCGTAAGCACCCGGTAAATTACCATCACTAACATATAAGCTCTTGTAAGTATGTCGTATAATGAACTCTTTGTTCCCACCTAGTCAATAATTCTCTCAATTTTCTGGACAACATATTGATAGTTTTTGACAATCACACCTTAATCTCACTAGATGTAATTTCCCTTTTTACCAATATTCCTTTAGATTTAGCTTTGGACAGCATTTCTCACAGATGGCCTTCCATTTCAAAAATAATTAATATTCCAAAAAATGAATTTTTTATAGCGTTGAGATTAGTTTTTGACTTGGACTTTTTTTCATTCAATAAAGTCATCTATAGACAGAAATTTGGGATGCCTATGGGTTCGCCTTTGTCACCTATCGTTGCTGATAGTGTTGCAGGATTTGAAGAGAAAGGCTTTGAATTCCTTAAATTTTCATATACCTTTCTATGTTAGATACGTGGACGACATTGCTATGGCGGCTCCTAATAAAAAAACATTAGATATTCTACACGTCTTTGACTCCTTTCACCTACGTCTTCAGTTCACAATGGAGATTAGTGGCTCAAGGCTTGATTTTCTTGATCTAACTATAATTAACAATAATAATACAATTGAATATGATTGGTACCATAAACCAACATTTTCTGGACGATACTTGAATTTCTTTTCCCAACATCCTCTTTCTCAGAAAAAAGGAACAATCATGAGTATGGTTGATAGAGACTTTTTGTTGTCAGCTCCCAAATACCATAGAAAAAACTTGATATTTGTAATTGAGACACTTCTAATGAATGACTATCCGTTGGATTTTATTTTCAAGATTACTAATGAAAAACTTAAATCTTTGTTATACAAAAAAACACTTAAACAGTGAAATGACAATAGCAGTGATATTAGTTTAGATGAAAAGACATAATTTTCGATTCCTTATGTCAAGAATTTAGCTGACAAATTCAAGGACATTATAAAGAATTTAAATGTGAATTTGTCGTTTTACAGCCTAAAAAATTTAATTGTTTTATCAGAAAGATGATCCACCTGCTTTACTTAAAAAAAATGTTGTATACAAGATTAATTGCCAAAATTGTGATGCGTCTTATGTTGGCCAAACTAAACGCACTTTAAAAACTAGAATCACCGAACACAAAAATGATATTCGTAAGAGAAGTGGCATTCTATCTGTAGTTAGTGAACATCGTATTCATTTTTAACATGAATTTGACTGGGATAGTGTTGAGATAGTTGATTCGGAGAGATGGCTATACAAACGACGCATTTCTGAGATGTTACACATTAAATTAGAAAAAAATAGCTTAAACTTACAATCAGACATTGATTTTTTACATCATTCTTATGTTTCTATTCTTAATAATAAATCTTTACATTAGCCTTTAGGATTTCATATTTCAAAACTACAATAATTTTATAATTATTCTTAAGAAGAACTGTAACTTAATAGGTTAAGTCAATGTGCTCAGAACAGTCGTTTCGATACCATTTAATGGAGTCTCTTCCTCTCATGTACTCAATACACTGCGTAGACTCCCAACACACATATTTATTGTTAATGCTTGTGTCACATTGTAGTCTTGACTCTCAACGTCGTTATACGACGGTTGACTGCTTGATTTAAGTTAGAATGATTTATTAGATTAAGTTGACTTAAGTTGGAATGATTTTTAATAGATTAAAGATGATACGTCGTACGTAATTTATTGTCGTATGTAATTTATAAATGATTATTAATCGTCATGAGGTTGCGGGTGAATGGTTTATGTTCTTACATATCCTATTTTAATAAGTACATTTATACTAATGTCAATTTGTGTCGTATTATTCAGAATTCTCTTCTATTCGTTTGCCATAAGACTTGCACAACTTGAGACAATTGCTATATGAAGGATGGGAGCTGCCACTCTCCAGCTCATCTCATGAAAATATTCGTTGATTTCAATATTGTTAGTCGGACCACTGAAGATGGCTCGAAAGTAAGCCGAAACGTCTGATGTTTTTATATAGTATCACTTTAATAAAAATCTTATATTATTTGCACTAATTACCGCAATTTTGACTCTCAGCGCCCGAATTTGTTGTATTGAGTCTCAATTATGTTAAAATTAATGAATAATTTTTAATATACCTAAAATGTTAATCGCAAAGAAAATGAAAAAAAGAAGGAAAGAAAACTCTGACATTAATTATAGAGAGTCCAGACGGTCATCAAAACCAAAATTGAATCTTTAATAATTTAATCTTAATGTAAAAAAAATATTCAGTAGTTTTCGTTAATATATATAGATGGCTCACTGAAATTAGTTTGAAAAGAAATTTTTTGTGATTACATTATGTTGTCTCAAAAGTGAGCCGAAACATGTAAGCGGATTAATTATTAATAAAGGCGTATGTTAAGTTAGCACCCCAATATTGAAATTCCATAGTTCTGATTAGAGTTCCCGTTTCCTTTTGTCCAGACGAAGAGTTCTATATAATTTTTAACAAGAGTTCTGCTTAATAACTATTTTTAAATAATTTTTAGAAAATGGGGTGCTAACTTCTCAGCGAAATTCGAGATCGAATAGTTCTGAGCAGCTAAATAGCTTTATTTAGTGAATACCTAGAGTTCCTGACACATAAAAAACAATTTTGACAAACAAGAAAATTAAAAAATAAAAAAAACAATTTTTTATCATTTCTTTAATTTCGCGTATCTTGAATATCGTTGATCCAATCGCTTTGTCACCTCATACTTTTATCATTTAGTGAATACCTAGAGTTCCTGACACATAAAAAACAATTTTGACAAACAAGAAAATTAAAACAAAAAAGAATTTTTGATCAGTTCTTTAATTTTACGTATCTTGAATATTGATGGCCCAATCGCTTTGTCACCTGATACTTTTCGATAGAACTCATCGAGAATTCCCCAAAACGATAATCAGAACTGTTGGAACTCTTAAAAAATTTTTCGACGTGGGATTTAGAAAATTTTCGACTACCTAAAAAATTTTTTAAGAGTTCCAGTTCTGATTATCGTTTTGGGGAGTTCTCGATGAATTCTATCGAAAAGTATCAGGTGACAAAGCGATTGGGCGAACGGTTTTCGAAATACGACATATTTGATAGTTAGTCGAAAATTTTCTAAATCCCACGTCGAAAAATTTTTTAAGAGTTCCAGGAGTTCTGATTATCGTTTTGGGGAGTTCTCGACGAGTTCTATCGAAAAGTATCAGGTGACAAAGCGATTGGATCAACGATATTCAAGATACGCGAAATTAAAGAAATGATAAAAAAAATTGTTTTTATTTTTTAATTTTCTTGTTTGTCAAAATTGTTTTTTATGTGTCAGGAACTCTAGGTATTCACTAAATGAAGCTATTAAGCCGCTCAGAACTATTCTATCTCGAATTTCGCTGAGAAGTTAGCACCCTATTTTTTAAAAATTATTAAAAAATTGTTATTAACTTAATATCGCATTAAAAAATACAGAGAACTCTTCGTCTCGTTAAAAGGAAGCAGGAACTCTAATCAGAACTATTGTATCTAAAAATTGATTTTTCAAAAATTTTTAATTTTTTTTGGATTTTTCAAAAATTTTTTTTATGCATCATGAACTCTAGGTATTCACTAAATAAAGCTATTTAGCCGCTCAGAACTATTCGATCTCGAATTTCGCTCAGAAGTTAGCACCCCATTTTTTAAAAATTATTTAAAAATAGTTATTAAGCGGAACTCTTGTTATAAATTATAGAGAACTCTTCGTCTGGACAAAAGGAAACGAGAACTCTAATCAGAACTATGGAATTTCAATATTGGAGTGCTAACTTAACATACGCTTAATAAAGTTGTTTTGTTAACCGTATTGATTTATACAAGAATTACCGCTGCTTGACTCCTATTGCCCTGTTATATCCAACCAATTTGGAACTTTATATTTGTACATATTTTAATTCTGTATAAAGAATTTTACAATCCATAAAGCCAATTCAAAGATTTTCACAGCAATTTTCACGATACAATTCGTAATTCCTGTCACGCCTATAGCATACCTTTAATTTAGTTACTCTTTACCACGAAAAACTTCAAGAAGAAATTAGCAACATATATATAAGTGCGCGTTTGTTTTTAACAAAAGTTTTATAAAAAATAAACAAACCCAATTTTAAGTCTTCTGTCAGTTTTCGTCCAATCATAGGGACAGTAGGGAAAAGTCTTAAAGTTTCCTTAATAATACAATCCAAGTAATGCATATGTTGTAGATCCTCATATTTAACTGGTGCAAACTTTGGAGTTTCCGTGCCATAAATTTCCAACAATTCTTTATACGCTTTTTCCTGTAGTATAAAGTTAAATAATGTATTTGTATATA